TCAGGTCAGGACTTGAGCATTGAGTAGAGTTCTGGAATACGACCCTAAGGCCTCACCACATGTTGTTTTTTTTATCTTTTTGTTTATATGTAATCTGTTGGTGTTCAAAATAAATAAATTAAAGCCACTTAAGTCATACCGTCAAAACAGCTTTCATCATTAATGTAATGTGATATAACTCTCGTAACAAGCATAGAAAAGTTAGCGACTAATTTCTTAAAATACGCCTGTCCATAACAATGCCACTCAGAGCTTTAAATTACAAATATCTGAGGGGTACTGCCACTGCGCCTGTCACACATAACAGTCATAAGTTGATAAGTTCCATCTGCGTGTAATTTCACCAGCACCCTTCAAGGCCGGAACACAGAAATTTTCACATTACTGTCTGGCGGTAGAGATAGGTAAGGTGGCAGTGCTACCCTGGACGAACTCTTTCACAAGAAGCTCTACTGATACTAAATGTAAAACTGTCGTTTAACAGATGTCGCCTTATTAAATCGAGATTGCGATTTCTGAAATTATACCATTCAGCTGTCACTCACCAACAGGGTCCTTAAGGCCGAAAACACCTGCGTCCGTGTGGATCACGTCAACGTAGTCAGCATCGGTCTCTTTTAACCGCAAATCATCATCCACGTGGCTGCAAATAATACGTCAGTTATGAAAAATAAAACCAAAACCCTCACCAAAAACTTGCCAAAAACCTGGACCAGTAAAATTTGTGAAACCGAACAAGTACCTACAAGGTTGTAAACATTATTATCACCATTAACCCGTTTTATACGCTCCACTGCTTGGCACGGGTCCGCCACGTTCTGGTTCAATGCGGGTTGGGGACTTCACAGATTTCCCAAGGGTTGTGCTCTTTTCGGACGTGTAGGTTTCATCACGTTTTCTTTTATCGAAAAACTTAAGTAAATTTCAAATTTTTAAACATTAAGCAAAAAGAGTCTCCTTAAACGCGTCACTGCATTCCTGAACAGAATAATCTTACTATTATTTGTGAAATTATTAAAATCAAAATTATTTTTCCAAATAATATTTCAAAATGTTGTATGATAGACAGATACAAAGGCGTAATAATTTGATAAAAATAACTATTTATAAACAATATAAAATATGACTCGACCTGAGTTGCACAGATTCCTTGCCTCCTGATTGATTAAAATATAAGCGGTACTTGGGCAATCAAGGACACTTCTATTCCATCTCTTTGCTTTTTGTTTTGTAGCGTTTAAACATTGGTTGTGTTTCATTATTTTCATTGACTCGTAGAAAAAGTATGCGTCGGAAAGTGAGAGGAAGGAATGGTTCCAATCAGGGTGGTCTGAACGCCCAGGTGGTTCCTTAGAAATACTATCCATGGTGGGTACTCACTACGTTTTAGAATAGATCGAAAACAAAACGTAGCACCAAAAGTATGTTCTTCGTTTATTGTAGAGAGGTACAATAATCAAACAACCAGGCATTTGGTACAGAGTAAACGACAGTATTGTGGAGTTGTCTTGTGCCCAGCGACTCGAATGTCCCTCCTAGCAGACAGAAGCCCTATTTATAAGGCGACATCCCCACAAGTCTGCCCGCGTGCCGTCAGCCGACTATCTTGTAAACAACGTTCTAAAAGAACACCTGTGTCGTTAGTGCTAACGTCTGGAGATGCAATGGCTTCGCAAACAATATATGGAGCCAATTATATCACTTGCACTGATAACTGCACGGGTGCATACTCGTGTCATGCCTGTAGGGCTAGCACGTCAGGGCGCGTCTTGAGCGAGAGCGACATGCCGCTATCCTTGCATAGAGATCTCGCGCTGTATGTCGCTCTCACGCAAGTCGCGTCCCGTTCGTGCTAGCCATACAGAGCAAAGAGTGTCCGTTCGCATAACAAGTCGTTTACTCCTGCACGTGTTGTTTACTGTGGCCTAAACACGGTAGTCGACATTAAGAACCCTCATTATGCAAAGATGGCATAAAATACCATTGTAAGCTGTGTATGTAAGCTCTAGAATCCATTTCCTAATCATACCTGAAGCATGGTCCGGCTGGGTCGAGCCCGGAGATGCGTCCAACTCGCATGCCTGTCAGCTTGGTGAACTGCTTTCCGGTGAAACCAGCGATGTGCGATCCCAAACTATGTCCGATCACGTGGATCTGCGTAGGATCCACGCCACCTGCACACGCAATGACAGAAGTACAGTCGATGCTCAAAGATACCACGATACCTTAGTTGACCTTTTGGTTCTAAGAGCTGTCTTACGCATTCTACAGATATGTAGTTGAAATTTGTATTCTGTATTCTAGTAAGTAATATGTTAAATATGAAATTGGCTTAAAAAGTTTCTTAAAATGACAATATCTAGTGACATAGTAAGGAAGTCATACCAAAATGAATTTTACGGTTCACAAGTTGAGTTTGTTTAATACTTTTCTTCACACTTGTCTACTTAGAAACAAATGGTCGGTTATCGGGTCAGATATTTTAGGGCATCAACTGTACAATTATGCCACTTTATAAAAAATACAATAACAACACAGACAGCAATATAAGTATTACAGAATGAGCTAATGTGTAACAGGCGGCCTCATTACTAAGCAGTAATTTCTTCCATGCAACCATAAAACTGACAAAAAAAAACTGTATTACTGAAATTGGAAAGAGCTCAAAGGCTGTTGTTGAAAATCTGCTTTTTTAAACCCAAATTATTCCCAACCGAACGTCTGTACAAAGAGTCGAAGCTATTAACAGTTAGACAACTTTACATTTCTCCCGTCACTCTTCATCAGCACTCTCAAACACCTCCACAAAACCACGATAGTGTGAACCAAAAGAGAAGACACTACTCCGTCTGTATTTCAGTTCCAGTCAGAACAACATTTGTTCAAAGATTTTTGCGTTTTCGAACTGGCAGAGTATACAATTTATTAAATAAAAAACTACATATATTAAATTTATCTAAATATGAATTAAAAAATAAAATCAACACATATTTACTAATACTAAGCTATGACAACACAGAGAAATTAATTGAAATCACAAATTAAAGTGAACATAAACACATACACACACACACACTCACACACTCAAACACACACGCATACACTCATGCGTATCTTCTTCTCTACAAGTTCTACATATTACCGAACAATAAATGTAATTAACTGACTCTGAGTTGGGAGGCCTGGAAACCTAAAATACAAATCATAGTTTTAGTTTAGGCTCCAGCTTTCCACAAATGTAATTTGTTTTGAAATTGTCACCTTAGATTTAATATCTCTTTTTAAGTAATGTTTGTGGAAGGAGAAATAAACGATTTTTATTTTTATAAGATAGAACTTTAAGAGTGGAAAAGGGGGCTGCAATCATGTTGCATCCAAAGAATATCTTCTAATTAAAATGTTTAAAATAATTTCACTAACATTATAGATTCCCGGGGTCCATGTCAATGATACAAATTAAGGGGTGCATGAGACGTTAATGAGGGTACTCGTGAACCTACCTAAACTCTCGTCAGTGGAACTTACTTAGGCAGACCGAAAACCATAATTTTATTTTCCATACGTGGGACAGTCCACATTACATAGGTTGTACATAGATTTTTTTTTTGTCTGCATGGCTTCTTTGAGCCTTGGTAACCTAGTGAACCTCATATAGCAATTGAATCTGTGGCAACGGATTCCACGGAGAACTTATTATACATAGATGCTTGAAGAATTTTCTTATTGTTTGGCGTTGATGTCTCAATCTAATCAAGGTAATCAAGTTGTTCATTGAGTTTGTTTATTTAATGATATCAAATGATGGGACGAACAAAAAAACAAGTCGTGCGTCTGGTGGCAAGTTACAAACGGGTGAATTTCAGTGGCACTTTTCGATAGTTTTAGGGTCTTAAACGTACAAATAAGTTCAAGCAATGTCAATAATTATAAAATCACAGAAATATTTAAGTGAAATATAACAAAAAACGATATTTTAGGCCACACGGATGAGATTGCAGTAACACGAATGATTTTCTCATAAACATAAATGAGAAAGGCGGCCAGTAATGAGATATTATTATTACAACACACATTTTATCGTTCACAAAAGAATACGCAACAAATATTTTAATATAACTTCTTGTATCAAAATCCTTCTCATCCGTGCAAGACCATCTATCTATCTATTTGTAATAAATAAATAAATCTAAATAAGTATTTTGTTAATGTCATGTAAACTTTGTTGTACATTAATATATCATCGTCACCACCATCAATTGTGGGAGTACTTTTCTATGCAAATTCTTTCATAATCTTTTGGAATTACTATTCGCCACATTTGATTAAAATTAACCTGTAATCTACTGCTACTAAAGTGTAAAGTGACCTGTTCTTACACGCACACGTGCTTATTTTAACTCCTTGTATATGTTGGAAAACAAAAACACTGTTTTACATTAAGATATAACAATGTTCTTACAATTAATCTAACCGGAAACAAATTCTACTCTATATATGGAACTATCCAGGCCTTAGTCATGGTCAAGAGAACCGGTCTGGCTTGATGCCATTACTTAAATCAACCGACTGTCCGGTCATACATCGGTACATAAACTTGTTTATATGCTTGTCTAATGTAATAAGATGTTTTATTACTTATTCACAAGTTTAATATCTTTTTCGCCACGACAGCGATATAAAAAAAATACATTTTCACCTCACTAGCTCGGAAAGGCTTCCTTTCTTATTACAAATCTGCGCAAAAGCGTTTTTTGCACGCTAGTGTGGAAAAGGTTTTTGAAATTTTGACGATAGACTGTGGCGCACCTAACTTTTTCTTTCGGTGAAAAAAAAAGACAATGACACATTCAACTACGCGATTTGTCGTAATGTAATGTCGTTTGATTTAAGTCTGTCACCATTTTTTTCATAAAAAACGCTATTCTTCTAAACGTAAAGAAAGTGTAAGAATGTTATAGTTGTTTTAAACTTATCTGATGAACACACTCTGGGGTCCACGTTGTATATTGCCTTAACCACAGGTTTCTGCAGGACAAAGATTCTAATAATATCTAGGAACACTTACTTTGAGTCATAGAGGCCAGGACCTCCCCAAGCTTCTCTCCCATCAAGCGTACGTATGTGGTTGACCTGAGGTAGAGCCAGTGAATCAGCGAGCTTCCATCCAGAGCCAATACGTTGCATAATCCTTTAGAAAAACCATATGACCATTTGTTACTTAGGAATGAAGAATATTTTATTATTATTATTATTGTTACAAAGATCAAATAACATAAAGAAAAATTCCTTTAATCTGGTTTTTTTATAATACCAAGTGTGTAGGTGTGGATTGTGGAAACGGAAAAATCCCCCACCACCTGGTTTCATCGTACCTCAAGAGCAACTACCACCAGGTTGGGACCTGCGGAGGCCCGTGAGCAACATACTATTGAGGGTCAATATAGTTCTAAAATAAAAGAAATATCGACGCGATAAGAAGAAGAAGAATAATGCCAAGTGACGGGACGTACAAGCCGTGCACCTGCTGGTAAGCGACACGCCTGTCCATAACAGTTGCAGTGCAGCTCAGAACTTTAAATCGCAAAGATCTTACGGGCACTGCCACTGCGCCCGTCACCCTGAGACATAAGTTGACAAGTCCCATGTGTCTGTAATTTCGTCAGCACCCTTATCCTTCAAAACCGGCGCGTAGTAATAATAATAATAATCCTTTGTTGTTGTTGTTGTTGTTCGATCTTTGTAATAATACAATACAATAATGGATTGTACAACAAGTGCATAATACGCGTCATTTTACACGAGACGAGTACATCGACCCGAGCTGTAGGCGAGGGTAAAATGGGTTTTATGAACGAGTTATACACTCTGCTTTTCACTTCGATTGCGAGGAAATTAAACAGCAATATTACAAATAAACGATTATTTAATTAAAATTGAATTGAAAATTACAACAATTAGACATATTTAATGTGATTTTTTTATATACACTAGAGCATAAAAAATATTCTTTTCACTTCTCATGCTCTTAAAGTTCGTATTTATGCTGTGTGTAGGCTGCATAAAATAGGATTTTATGTTCTAGTGCATAAAATAAAGGTCGTTAAAGACCGAGGCAATGATGCCTGCGCCAACAGCCACGCACACTACAACTTTATAAAATAAAGTTTAACTTTAATTTTTTTAATCCGTGTTATATTACAAAATTAAAAAGTAGGCAATAGTAATTCTAATAAGTTATAAGAAATAAAAAATAAAAGCTTGTAAAATATAACTGAGCATCATGTAGTCCGACCTGAGTCACGTGTAGAATTGACATTCAATTTTAATTAAATAATTATTTATTTGTAATATTGCTGTTTAATTTCCTCGCAATCGAAGTGAAAAGCAGTGTATAACTCGTTCATAAAATCCATTTTACCCTCGACTTAAGTATCCAGGAATACTCGTCTCGGGTAAAATGACGCGTTTTATGCACTTGTTGTACAAAAAAAAAAATGCACACGGATAAATACATAATAATAATACAAAAAAGGTAAAAAGGTGGCCCATGTCTTTATGTACCTACGATATGTAATATTGTTTAAATAATAGGACAAAAAATTAAAAAAAAAACATCGCTATAGGACAATAGAGGTAATGAGTTATACATTTTCCCACACACATTACGTAGTCGGACTAGTCCAGAGTTCTACTACTTGTTGTGGGTGAATCATTGCCACTAGAGCCAAGCAATTACATTATTGACTATTCTCATTTTGTTTGTTTTTAACCGACATACTGTATGTATGTTTTATATATATTTTCGGATATCTCCGTCAATTGTGAACCGATTTTAAAAATCCTTCTCCACTTGACGCAATACTTATAATCAACAAATCACTGTCATCATGACAACCAGAAAATAAAATATAAAATGTACAAAAGAGTCTGTGACCGTGATTTATTACACTTCTCAGAAAACAACTTTTTGATTTATTTATTTGGTATCCCAACAGAACATATACAATGTTCAATACAATACAAAATTTAGTATCTATCTTAATGTACATATCCCAGTAACAGGGAAACGCAGTATTATTAATTATGATATCAGACTAACAAGTAAGGAACAGAAACAAACAATAAAAGCAAACTACAATCCTCTCAACATAGCACGTGAATTGCCATGTACAAATTAAAATTAAAAAAAAAATGTGAATTTGGAAAAAACACAACAGTGACACTTTTATCATTGCAAATGATTGCAATACAAAAAAATCACTGAAATTCAATAATTTTTCGTTTCAATCGGGTATATGTGTCATTAAAAATATCAATACGTTCTATAACGTAAGATCCATAAAATAAGATCTATAACGTTTAATAATATAACTTTTTTATAAAAACAAATCGACGTCAAAATTTCGTGGAATTACATCTATTTGCCAAGTTTTATTAAATTTGGTTATAGAGTCGATACAACCCCAAATGGCTCTGGTTGATTCCCACATAACAGTGAAAATGTTGTATCAATCACTTTTGAAAAAAATAATAATTATTTTTATAGTAAAATTGAGGATGTATACACTGCTTACACATGATTGATATACACATGTAAATCTTATAATGATCCTTGCCACCACATCGATATATTTACCTGTAAACTAAATTGTTTTTGTCAAATGTTAAAAAAGTAGATTTTGGTTAATAAATTAAGTAATTATTTCTTTTCTGCAATAATTGTCTCAATTTTTTAAAACTTGTTTAGAGCTTTGTCATTTGGTTAGGCCATTGTTTACAGAATTTTGTCATTGTGTAGTAGATTAAGTGCTTTCGGCCTTCACTTTGTGAATTATCTATCATTGGAAACAAAATTTGGCTAAATTTAATATTTAATAGGTAAACAAAACATTTATGTAATATGTAAGCTGTATGTTTCTTTAAATAAATAAATAAATTAGTTTACTATAGTTAGTATTAGGTCAAAATAAATTATTAACTCTTAAAGTCTTTACCTTGACTAAACAGGGCCGTACTGATGTTGGTAAAGCTATTCTTGCTAGGGTCATCTGTGAAGCCGTGTATGTAGATGTACAGCTTCTGATGAGGGTTGTAGCCCTGAGACTGCGGTATCAGCTGCGCAGCACGGTTCAATTTGTACGTTATGCTGAAGTCACTGTTTGAGACAGAACGGTACAAAATTAGTATCTTTTTCTTTTTTTTTCTTGCACATACTCATATCTGCGCACTAGGGCCGCCCTGTATCGCGGGCGCCTTCGACACACATAGATTTAACCACATATTATACCCAAGTGCCACTCAGCTCTTTAAGTCGCAAAGATCTGAGGGGTACTGCCGCTGCCAGCTGTCACCCTGAGACATAAGTTGACAAGTCCCATGTGCCTGTAATTTCACCAGCACCCTTACCCTTCAAAACCGAAACACAGTAATTCTGACATTATTGCTTCGCGACCGAAATAGATAAGGTGGCAGTACTTCCCTGGATGAACTCTTTCACAAGGAGCTCTACTGCTACGAAAATATATAATAATTATAGTGGTCGTTACCTACCTAATTAAAAATTAATAAAAATATATGTTGTATTTTCATATCTTTCATCGTAGAGGTTACATCATTTGCTCACGGAGTGTGTTCGGATGTAACCTATAAAGGCCGCGGTTAGTTGCGCAGATTGGTTTTATACATTTAATTGTAATGTGGGACCAATCCGTTTTGTCTGAACGAATAAGTAGTACAGCGGAAAGTATGGTATGCATGTCTGGGTAGGTAGTATTTGTTTGGATTCCATTATGTGTTTTCTTGGTGCATTGTTTTTGTAATGGGGCTGACATGTTCGATAATAAATCAAAGTCCCTAAATACACATAGAGACAAAAAATGAATTGTAGTTTTTATAAAAATATGCCACATCTTCTATTTCTTTTTCACACGCATTAGGAATCGATGGCACAAGAATGCAGCGTTTCATACTTTTTTATCTACATATATCATAGAAGGGAAGATCAAAGGAAAAAAATGTAGAAGAAGACCGAGATTATATGTATATTAGATATTTATATTTGATAAGGGAAAAGATAATGTAGTGCTGTATCAAGAAATCAAATTTAGGGTACTGAAAAAATATTCCGCCGACAAAAGCCTAGCTTTTAATTAAGAAAATTATGAATAAATTGCCTCTTTAAACGAGAACCATTATTTGCAATGGTATGTAAGTATATACATCGGGTACCTATTTCGATTATTTATTGGCAAAATCAATTAATGTGCTTGCGTCAAATGTCGCGGTCGTGATTGATTTAGTGGTGGTGTAGCTCATTGGATCCGAGACGATATTAGTTTTGCCTCATTATAATTTGACTTTTATGTCAAAAGGAAATAAAGAATATTTCTATGGTATGGAAATATCATGCGACGAGAAGAGTGTTGGGTATGAATGTGGAGGGATATAAGGGGAGAGGAAGGCCAAAGAAAAGATGGATGGATTGTGTGAAAGTTGACATGGATAAAAAAAGATATGTGTATGGAAATGATGACTGGTAGGGGAGAGTGGAAGAAAAATACTTGTTGTGCCGACTCCACCTAGCGTGGGATAAGAGCAGGAAGAAGAAAATAGATATTTCTGCCAAGCAGTAATGTGAACAATACTGTTCCGGTTTTGAAGGCTACGGGTGCTATTGAAACTAAAATGTTCTATTCTAATATATGTAATAAAATGCTTTTTACACTTTTTGCTTTATGGTCGGTGCGTGTATCATTTGTGGTTTTGGTATAGGAATTTTAACTGAAATCTCTGTAGTATATATATATAATAGTGTATAATTGCGGTGAGTGAGGTGATTTCTTAATTATATACTTAATTAGAAACTGTATACTGCTGTGTCTATAGCGCCAAATGTATTTGACTTGTACTTTACATTATATACAAGGTGAAGCCTGAAAACCAGCAAATTGCTGAGGCTGTTACCTATTCTTCAACACTGATTTAGATTTTAAGCCACTGTTTTAAGTTTTTATGTCTCGTTGAATTCGAAGAATAAAGTCTTTTATTTATTTATTATTATTGTTATTTAAAAGCTTGTCGACTTTATGCCTCAAGGTGACGAGAGCAGTGGCAGTGCCATTCAGACTTTTAAGATTTAAAGCACTGAAAGACGTCGGTTCGAATTCGGCCGGATCGAAGGAACTTTTTCTGAGTGTTCGATCTTTGTATTAATAATTATAACAAACTACTGGAGTCATTTCACAAAAAAATAACTGAATATCAATTCAATACAAATTTAATCTGTTTATCAATCAAAATAATTTAAATTAAATAAAATGAAAGAAGTGTGGAAAGACGACATGGCTCTACATTTCACACAAATTTAATTCCGCGGTATTTAAGTTTATTTGAAAAGGGCTATTTCTAGAATTTCTTCTCAGGATAGTCAGCACAGCGAATGAGCAGTAGCTTAGAAAATGATGTTTTCATGTGAAAATATTTTACTTATGGAATAAATGATTTTTCACCTCACTAGCTCGGAAATGCTTTCTTTCTTATTATCGAAGGAATGTTTTCTAAGTGTACGATCATTGTATTCATAATTATTCAAATTATTTTATTGAATAATAAATCAAAATTAAATTAAAGAAATCCTGTGGTAAAAACACGGTAAATAAATTTAAAAAATATATATTATTTATGTCCCAACTAAAACAAATCATTCCCTCTTTCACCTTCACTCGATTTGTGAACGCATTTTTAATCTTTGGTAAGTGCATTTACAACTTTTTGAAACTTAGCAGCACTATAAACGTTTCAAAATGACGAAATTCAACTTGAGTGTGTAAAAAGTTTCTACTACCAAACGATTTAATTAAAAATTCTACAAGTTACAGTTGTTGACAGACAGTCATCCCCTCACATCATATAAAAAGAAGTTAAGCATTATTTTTATTTATTAATTATATACTCAGACGAGTTATTGGTACCAGTAAGCTTACACAAAATATTAAGTCTAAAAGTAAGTTTATATCGCTATTTTTTCTTGGTTTATATTGATTTCGTCATTCCCTCACCGTCATTCCCTCAACCTCAACCGTTCTCACTGTCCTATTTTTTTTTTTCTTAAAAGCCATATTTTGGGGACCATTATATCATCAAAAAATATTTACATAAGTACTACGAAATGTACAAAAAATAAATACTTCATCGAAATACACATAAATCGATAGATTCTCGGAATTTCATGAGAACTACCCACCTACTGCTTAGACCACTCGGTAAAGCTTCGTGGCCTAAACGCGGTACACGACTCGAAAACCCCTCATTATGCAACGATTGCATTTAATACTATTTTAATTAGGTTCCATTTCAATATGTTTTTTGTTTGAAGCCCGCTCGGTTCTGTTTTGCTATTGAGTTTGTTTTTAAAATTACTTTGAGAGTGACGTTCCTTTATTCATTAACAAAGTATTGTGAATAACATCCTGATATAATAAAACTATATACAAAAAACAAACCCATAATAGCAGAAAATCCCTTGACAATCAAATTAATCTGAATGAAAAGGTCGTGTTGTTATTCCGACTTTAGCAGGAAACGGATTTTGTGAATCATACGTAAATTACGTATGTCGGGTTATAAATGTCGTTCAATTTATTGATAATTCGTTTCTGAAGGTTGTTTCGTAATGATTATCAAGGTGGCATATGGATGGCATTCGTGTAAGCCTTTGCCATGGTTGCTAAATTAAAGGACAGGATTGAAATATTAAATTTGACAATTTAATGTAAGTTGGCCTGTGCTGTAATAAATAAGTCATACCAAAATAGTTTTACGGCTCATAGGTTAAAGGTTAAGCTTGTTTGAGACCTTTATTTACACTTATTTACTCAGAGTGGTTGATGAAGGGGCTGATATTTTAGGGCACCGACTGTACCTACAACATGGCAGCATTAGATGAAAAATGTATTAATTTTGAAATCATTGATACGAGTTAAATTATTAATCTATGTGAAACTTTAACGGAGAACTGGAATAGTATTTTATGCAATCGTTGCATTTGCCAATTGGCCTAAGTAATAGGTATGTACGAGACTTTAAGACCTAATTATGTATTGACTTTGACTTTGACATTGCATACAATGTTTTTCTACTAGTAAATTAAAATAATAAAACACAACCAAATATTCGAAGATTGTTTGTTCAATAATCCACGACAACTCGCTCGAACAAAAGTCAAACAAAACCTACAAAATAAAAAAAACAAACAGATAGAATATAAGTGATTGGCCAAGTACCTCTTATATTTTAACCAATCAGGAGGCAGTACAGCATTTAAATAGCGTCGTGTTTGATGTTTTATATGGGTAGTTTTATTGCGATCACGCCTTTCTTCTTGCTATGTAACGTAAATGTGGTGATATTATTAAATAAAATGATTTGAATTTTAATAATTTCACAAATATAGTGACGTTATTTTTGTCCGGAACACAATGACGCGTTTATGGAGACTCTTTTGATGAGCAAAGTACGATGTTTTTTTTTTAAATTTTCAATTCTTAACAACAACAGAACATATATAATTAGAGCCACATTGTGTTTTTATTCTTAAATACAAAAATATTATTAGGATTGAAGCAAAAAACAATTAACCGATTTTAAAAATTCAAATTTCAAAAAGGACCCATTGTAATGACGTTTGGTATACCAGTGTCTCTACCACGAGTATACACTTTTTTGTTTTAACATTTTGTCCACAAATATTTTACGTTGTCGTTAGTGAGAAATGTTACAGTAATCTCATGGTAGAGCCACAGTGCGTCCTTTTGGGAACTACAGATACACATACAGATAGCTGTCTATCATAGATCATTAGTAGTGGTAGTGGTTTGTCCACGGAAGTACTGCCACCTTGCCTAATTCTGCCGCCAAGCAGTAGTGTGAACATTACTGCATTCCGGTTTTGAAGGGTAAGGGTGCTGGTGAAATTACAGGCACATGGGACTTGTCAACTTATGTCTCCGAGTGACGGTTGCAGTGGCAGTGCCCCTCAGATCTTTGCGATTTAAAGCTCTGAGTGGCACAGCAACTGTTATAGACAGGCGTGTAGCTTGGCACTAGAAAATAAAATAAAAAAATATATGTAGCCTTCAAACTTATATAAAAAAATTAACATTTTCTTAGTATGTACATATCCATTTCGTAATGCGTCAATGCGTATTAAATTTCTTATTTCCCTGTTTATTTTCTAAACAGTCCAAAAATAGAGATTCTCACATGTTTTATATATGGCTAAAGTATTTAAATACGTATAAAAAAGTATTTAAAATGTATATTAATAATACGCATATTCAAGTATAATCAGTTCCGAGAAGTCCCGGTATTTGTAGAAGGGAATATACACGGTATTCTTCGGTTTAGCTAAATTAACTTCCTCAATTCCGATCATGGCTTAGAACTCCCCTCTTTTTGCATCGAGGGTTAAAAATTGTAATAAAAACGGAACTTCCAGAGAAAACTCGTGAATTATTAATAATAAGGAAATGAATTTGAAACGGTTCAAATTGGGCAAATAAGTTGTGAAACATCCATGTATCTCGTCGTTTTGGACAACGGAGGACAAAACAACAATGCAAGTGCCTCGATTACTATCGGAACCGATGTCACCAAAACTCACACATTCTTAAATTGAAACACTACAAAATCTTGATATTGATCTGTGGTCGTAGTGGTGGATGGTCGTAGTTTCAAATTTAAAAAGAAATAAAAAATTCTGGGTTGGTAATATAATTTAAACTTTACGCTGTTGGCATATCGTTGAAAGTACAATACCAGCAATACCTGTCATTGCAAATTACGACGTTCTGATATTATTGAAATTTCAATCAATGTATGCCATCTACCGGTTAATTGCTGAACTACGACGAATCGGAGTTCTTAATTCAGCTCTCCAAAAACGAAGCGACCATATTGCAGGGGTATAAGGTTTACTTTCGTTTCTTGTAACAAAAAACTATTTCGATGAACAGAAAATTTAAAATTTGTTAAAATAAGAAATGAAACTATTTTTCCGGATTTAAATCGCGTATATTTGTTTTTTCAAACAAACCGAC